CGAATTCTAGACGGACGTCGACACTTGCGTGCGACAGATGCATCGACTGGTCAGTGAGTGAGGGATTTGGTCGGATCGAGGGGACTTTTCATGACCGGTGCTGGACGCTGGGTGGATGCCGACACAATTGTTCGAGCCGGTCTCGAAAAAGGTCCGCTGTTGGGCGGGCTGAGTATGCGAGTAAGGGGATGATGAAACCAAAGCGACGGATCTTGGGCTATCGCTCGTACGCGACCGTCGCACAACTCATGGACAAAAACCGGACGGGACAAAGATACGACCGAGTGGCATGATAATTGGAGGTGGGGGGGTAAAGGAAGGGGACCGAAAGGAAGGGGACCGAAAGGAACCGAAACAGATCCTATCAGCAGGGTGGACATTCGAGTGGGTCGCTTGGATAGACGAGACGGCAATTGCTGTACTGGTGATGAAATAGATGTATCATATCCTGTACCATCAGATAAGAGCACGAAAAACATTCTTAGAGAAATCGCACTACTTGTCACGCGCGATCTGACCGAATTCCTCCCCCGACCACCCCCCCCCCCTTCTCCTGTAACAAGATATCGCACAAGCGCCCGAACCGACAGCTCCATCCAACCATCCCAAACAACGCCCGTCACAACTCCAGCACCCGCATCGCCAGCTCCAGACACTCCGTCCCGTACCGTGCCCGAAGCACACAGCAGTCCTCTACCCGTCCTCTCTGACCCACCACCTTGATCTGCTCCGTCGCACCATTCTTACGGGCGTAACGAGGTACCGAACTCATGCGACTGTCAGGGCTTTCGAAAGAGCCAGTCCAGTCCATTCGGCACCGATGGGAAAAATCTAGCGACCCCGCCATCCGGGTCGGTCTTCGATTGCTGGACTGCAGCTCGTACCGCCCCAATCGGCAGCACGAGTCTGTACAGACGGCTCACAGGTTCGACGGCTCGGCATGACCGGTCGATCGAGTTTCTGAGCGTCTGTCAGAATATGGTTGTTCGATTTCATTTCATTCCATGCCACTTCCGATTCCGAGTCGGCCCGGACGTCCATTGCGGAAACAGGTATGGGAATTGTTGCGCCAGGGACGCTCCGTGCCCAGATGACGGAAGGCTGGTGGAAGGACGGGAACCTTACCGGTACTGGGCAGCACTTACGAGGAGGTACTGGCACGGGAGACGCTCTCATGGGTTGTTCTGCGGGCTCTGGCCCTACTGGCAGCAGTGTCGAGGAGGTGGGGAGGCAGATGTCTTCCTTACGGTACCTAGTAAGTCCATGCCCTGTTCCTGTGCACGGCAGATCTTGGTCAGGGGGGCCATGGTGGGAGATAGCGAGATTCGTGGGAAAGGGAATCCTGTGTTGAGTCCAAATTCGAGATGCTTCAGTGCTTTCTGGTGAGCTGATGCAGTTGGCCGCGGTGAAGTAAGCTTCCTGAACAAATTGTTTCCCCCCGGGCAGAGGCTTGACACCTTGGAAATGTCTAATTAGTATGTCTGGTAGACGTTGATACGTAAGGAGACAGTTGATCTGAGATGCACGCGTCCTTGCACGTTGGCTGATCCTCTCGGATCGCTGGACACTTACACAAGAAAGAACATGAAAGCCGAGAACAGACGGGAGGCACTTCGCAGACTTATCTTGACTTGAGAGGACCAACGAGCGGAAGGTTATTCCAGCTCTTCATACAATCCAATAGAGTGAGAGTTTTAGAGACGAGAAAGTGCCATCTCAGTGACTGGCTGGAATTCCAATCCTTGGTGGTAACACATTAGCTCAGGTCCATATGTAAAGATCACTATCCTGTTGAGTTGATAGATTGCGCTTGGAGCTCTGGACTATTGCAAGTACCTATTGAGATTCTGGTGTTGGTTCTGCGATCTTGGAGGGATGTCACATTAATGGTAGAAGAGCCTCTAGAGGCAAGACTCGGAGAGCCCCTAGGATCCATGGTTCCCATCCCCACCTACCACGCCTCAAGTGGGACGATGCCACAGAACAGCACAGTCTATGAAGTGGACGTCCAGCTTGATCGGCGCACGTAATTTGTCTATTCGGTACACTGAGCCAACTCCACTGCCCTCAAATTCTGCTGTAGCCGACCTGAGACGCAGATCCAAGAGCTCGATTGGGTGATCTATTGGAATGTCGCATACAAGGCGTGTACTTGCTGGATTTGGAGAAGCGCGAGGACAAAGAGCGCACCGTCTGCAGACATCTGATAGAATGATGCCTGGGACGACGCAGCAAGACTCATCTCTTGGTTGCCTTAAGGGGCACTGCTACTATCGCTGAAGCCTTCCCATTCCTGATCTATCAGCTGGTCCGTTCCGGGACTTTCAACCTGTCTCACAAATCCCGCAACGAAGAACCCTTGGGTACCCTCTTTGGTGCCTTTCTCACAACGAATACAGGCTTCGGCGATCTCTGCCGTGTCAATCTCCTCATCCATAGCAATGTCAATGCATGCCTCTACCTTGCCCCTCATCTTCCACATGTTCATTCCACAAATCTGTTCCTCTCTTCGTAATATTTGCCAGCCTCGTTCTTGGGCAATTGAGGAGCGTAGTGCCTTCATTACCACATGCTCATTCTCTTCTGCGTAGAGGGAGCAGGTGGAATACGTGATCCTGCGAGCTTTTGGAAAGTGGAAGGCGTGCAGGAGGAGCTTAAGCTGGAACGTTGATAATGCAGTAAGTCTAACTGAGAGCTGGTCTGACGGCTTGTCTTCTCGAATTGGAATCTCTTCTGATACATCGTGGACATTCAGGGTTGTGTCGATGGTGGGTCTCCTCTTCCGCTTCTTGGATCGCACAGGAAGTAGATCGCTAGCCTCCTTGCTAGGGAGGATGACATTCGAAGTTTCGTCGCGCCCTACGATTCCACTACCCGAGCAGCTCGGGTCAAGTATAAGTGCACCAATGCTGTCCCAGGGAGTCTTCGCCGGATCAGTCCTCAAAAAGTCTTGCCCCACCTTTGCTATTACATGGTCCTGAGCGCCAGCCGTTTGAAGGAGCGTCAATAAGGTTGAAGCCCGACCCTTATCCCGCTCGTAAGCGTAAATGTTGGGTATTGCTGCAGCTCGACCTCCATCATGTAGGATGGCAGCAAGATGCGTAGTCTTGTTTCCCGGAGCAGCACAAGCGTCCAAGCAACCACCATCTTCAAGTTCAGGGCAGAGTAAATAGGCAGGGAAGCATGAGGCTTTGTCTTGTAGTATGATGTGTCCGTTGAGGTAGGCAGGGGTCTTGGATAGGTCTGTAGCAGGCGGCAAAGCGAGTAGGTTTGGTACGTGCTTGTCGACATGTATGAGCTTCTCCGCGGAAGACGGGTGATATCTCAGCAGTTCTTCCAGAGACTGAACGGTCTTGTAGCCGGCGAATGTAGTTTTTAGTTGCTCATCCAAGTCGGACTTGATCGTATTGACTCGCACCCATCGAGGATGAGGCCACTCCCCAAACCCAGCTTCGCTTTCAAGCCCAGTGGCCACAGCGCTTCCGTTGTATGCCCGCTTTTCTCCGCCGTCCTTTGCTTCTATCCGTTCCCGCAGAGCCTCGATAGACGAAAGTCCCTTTCTTAGCCTGGCTTTGGTGAGCTCTGCATGGAGCCGAGCCTTGTGTCTCTCAACGGCAAGCCGTAGAGGGTGCGATGATGGAGCAGAGATACCTCGCTTAGCAAGAAGGAGATCATGGACCAGTAGGAGAGCAAGGTTTGGTGTCAGCTACAGGATAGGTGCCTCCTTGTCAGTCAGTACCTTCCCAGCTGAAGACAATTTGCTTGTACGTACCTTTCGTTCGAACTGCAGGAGCCGAGATTTTTCAATAACCTCGGATAGTACTGGGCTCCATTTTGATGCCTCGGTCACCAAAGCGAAGATCTGCTTTGGGGGTGACTTGTGGCCTTTGGAGTTGAAGACGCGGGATTTCAATGAGCCTGCTTGATCTGAGTTGGGCAGCAGTAGAGGTGCTGCATCGTAGTACAGTGACATAGTTTCGTTGAAAGTATGGCGACTTCATCGACGGGGAGAATAATTCTGAAGGAATCGCAGGAGTAAGCTCCTGAAGCAGGAACTTTCAAAGTGAAGACCCCTCGGACGTCGATTCTCTTGAAGCCTCTCGGCAAACCTTCCCAAGCTGTACGAGTACGAGTAAGCGGCCGACGCTGGACGACGAGATTTGGCCTCAGTTTATGAATTCCACTTAGAAGTTAGAACCCTCATCATGAACCTGTGACCAAGGGGGCCGTGAAGTGACCCGAAAGTCTAGTCCATCGTGTCTCTCAGTATTGTCTGCGTAGTGCAGAGACTGCCATTCTACATTCAACATCTTACATTGCTCTCGGTCTTGCCTGAACAGCAGAGTGGGCTGCTCAGACTTTCGACATGGAGCGGTCTTATGTTCGGTGTCCGGTGTTTCTATGGGGAGCATGCATGGCTATCGATGCCTGCTACAACGCATTGTCCTGCCCTTCGTGAACTAAGCATGCTGGCCCGTATGGCGAGTTGTTGCAGCTACATGGAGATGAAGCAGGCAGCCTATTCGCGTGGGCCAGAATTGAGGGGAGGTGGGTAATCAGATGGGACGTTGTAAGGCCAAAAGAGCTTTCCATATGTTTGCTTAGATGATGTGAACCTGCTATGCTTTATCTCATTCTAGATGCAACATGTGTAATATTCAGGTAAAGCAATCGCTTGTAAATCTGCGCTGATCGTGAAAAATAAGGCTGAGGATGGAAGAACTGTAGATGTTGCCACCATTTGCAAAGTGAGGTTTGGCAATGTTTTCACCCCAGATCTAACCAACTTTCATCAACAGCACGCTGCAACATCAGGCTCACAGCCCCTACACTGCACCAGTCGCCCCTGTATTCATTACAAGATGATTATGATGATGATTGACACACCCTGAACAAAATTACGTGATCGCACAGCCTACAAACAATTAAATCGCATCTGACGCGTTAAGATCAGTCCAGCTCCATCTTTCAAGCTCATCAATCCCTCACATTCAACAATGATGGCAAGCCTATCAGCCAAAGACATGGGAAAGGATCAAGTGCTGGATGGCTGGTGCCGCAAGATCCCCAAATCTGGGGGTGGGCCTCCTCTGAGCCGCAAACGAGTCACAGAATTTTATCAGACATGCCATCAACTCATCCAGCTTCAAGAAGCACCAATTACCCATGAGGTCATCACTAAACTTGCCTCTGAAGGAGGCCTTACCCGCGTCGCAGAGCTTGTCAAGCTCGCTGAGCTATCTTCAACGTACGTCCCTTTCTGAGCAATGGCATCACCTTGGGTGTCCAGTTTGGGTCTCTGTGGATGATGGGAGACTCCGCCCTTCTCCTTCAATTCCACACTGCCTTGCTAGTTGGTGTCTCACCATGAGGAGCGTTGCTGACCCTTACGTCTGCATAGGCCTAGGGAGACGAACGACATCTTACTGACCATCCTGATACCGTTCCTTGAGGCCATTACCCACAAAGATGTCTTATACTCCATGATGCTCGAGCAGATGGTGGCCAATATATATGTCTTCTTGTATGGAATAGGCGGCCGTCGAGCCACAGCGCTCTTCGGCTTTATAGCAGAGGCCCTTCAAGCCGAGCTAAACACGGGCCCTACGAATGCACTTTACTCGCGCACTCTCACCGTCCTTGCCGCACTTCTCCGAGTCCTGGAGTGCAATCATACTGCGTCTCCCTTAGAAGACCTCCGCTTCGTCGTTGACACCCTTCAAGCCTGCCTCGACGCACTATCGAACACTTTCCAGGGCACTTTGATGGAACAGGCCGCTTCACACCAAATGACGAAGGTGCGGCGTCATCTGGACTATGGAGTGAGCTTGGTACCCTTCCAGCAAACCAACCCACCGGTTCCAAACCTTGCAGCCGCCTTCGAGATTGCGCAAGATGGCCCTGGTGCCCTGTCTTTAGCGGGGCCTAGGCATGACAACGACCATAGCATGATTGAAGATGTCAGAATACTACCAACTCCTCAGGAGATTTACTCACTTCGTACGGAATATCTCCCGACAAAGGACCCCAGCAGGTGGCATCTTCCCGGCATCAAAGGGCTGCTGGACCAGCAATTTCGTCTGTTGCGCGAGGACACTGTGGGTCAGCTCAGAGACTGCGTTCGAACGGTAATGGAGAGCCTGAAGCCTCTCAAGACCAGAGATTTGACGGATACTGACGATGAGATCGGCCTTCGCATTCACAAATACTCCAAAGTTGTCCTTTCCACTGTCGACTACCACAAAAGAGCACAGCTTCGGGTTATGGCCCAGTTTCAACAGCCAGAGCATATGAGCAGACGAACTGCCGCAGACCGTAGGCTATGGTGGGACAGATGCAAGCAACTACAAATTGATGCTCTCGTGTGTCTTGTGGATTCTGAAGGCCATTGCCTTTTCTTCTCCGTTTACGATCGAAAGGGTTTCAGCCAAGCTGGGCAGCTAATCACCACAGAAGCCCGTGGCATTGAAGGCAAATCGCGTGAAGATGAGACGAAAGTACCAAATCTCTGGCATAGTCCCCGGCGTGGAACGGTCACGCTTCGCTTAATTGATATGGGCAACCAAGACTTCAAGCAAATGTTGGGCAGAGATGTTCAGGCGTCGAACGTGGAACAAGTGATCGTCGAGTTTCCAGGGGTGCTTCTTCCATCATTTCAGCCCACGCTCGAGGCCTTACAGCGTATGAGCAGAGATGTCGAAATTCCATTTTCCGACATGCTTCTTCCCAACCAAGAACCAAGCCCAGCTCAGACATCTTGGCCCACCTACGCTACTCAACCTGGTTTTGCTTTCGACTTAAGTCCGATAGTCGCTGCAGGAAAGCCTTTATACTTGCAACAGAACGATAAATTCGACTTCGACAGCCTGAAAGAACGATCTACACTGGACGATGCTCAATGCAAGGCATTGGTGGGGGCACTTTCCAGGAACCTTGCCCTCGTACAAGGCCCACCAGGGACCGGAAAATCGTACATCGCTGTACAGGCCGTCAAAGTACTGTTGGAATGCCGCGAAGAAGCGGAGATAAACCCTATTATTTGCGTGTAAGTGCGGCCGTTTGCTATGATGGTTCCTTCTTGTCAAGCTAAAACGCCACCAGATGCTACACCAATCACGCGTTGGACCAATTTCTCGAGCATCTCGTAGAGGGCGGCACTAAGCAAATCGTTCGTATAGGCTCCAGATCCAATTCTACAATACTCAAGCCTTTCACTCTACGTGAGATCACCACTAAGATGGAGAGAACGAAGACTGAAAACCTCGAAGTCAAGCGTTCCCGGGGAAAATTAGAGAAAGAGGGTAGGCACATTGTGGACTTGTTCCACAAATTGAAGCATGTGTGCACGTTGGGGGGGGTATTGCAGTACCTGGAGGTGGAGAATGCTGACCACTACGACCAACTCAAGGGTACCGAGGATCCAGACGGATTTCAGATTGTTGAACATCAACGTGGTGACCGACTTAAGCAGTGGCTTGAATCTCCAGCTGCTCCTTCGTACGCGGGGCAGCAGCCCCGTTCTCTAGAAGAGCTCGAGGACATCAATATAACGGATATGAGCAACAATGAGCGCAAATTTATCTACGAGCATTGGGTTTCGGATTCTCGGCAAGATCTCACGGAGCAGCTTGACGACAAAATTGGTAGATATGTCAAGATCGAAAAGAACTTACAGAAGTGTATTCAAGAAGTCGATTTGAGATGCTTGAAACAATCCCACGTGATTGGGGTCACAACTTCCGGACTGGCCCGTAATGTTGACCTGCTTCGACGACTGAAACCCAAAGTTCTGATCTGCGAAGAGGCAGGAGAGATACTCGAGGCTCATACTCTTACCGCGTTCCTCCCTTCGATTGAGCATGCGATCCTGATTGGAGACCATGAGCAACTTCGTCCAGGTGTGCAGAATTACGACTTGTCACTCGAAAATCCGCGCGGTGAGAAGTACTCGCTAGATATGTCCACCTTCGAGCGCTTGATTACGAATCCTGACTTGGAGGTCCCTTATGATACCCTCCAGACCCAACGGCGTATGGACCCGTCGATCAGCGACCTGATTCGGAAAACTCTATACCCGTCATTGAAAGATCACGACTCAGTCCTAGCATATCCTCCTGTGACAGGAATTCGAAAACGCCTCTACTGGCTTGATCATCGAGAGCCCGAGACTAGAGAAGACCCCACCCAAGTGCTGCAAAACTCACAATCAAACATGTACGAAGTGGATCTAGTCCAAGCATTAGCAACACATTTTGTCCGTCAAGGTGTCTACAAGAGCAACGATATTGTGATTCTTACTCCCTATGTGCGCCAGCTACTCGAGCTTCGGGACATGCTGTCAAATACCTTCGAGATTGTCATCGGAGATAAAGACCAAGATGAAATTGCCAAAGAAGGCCTTGATGCATCCGACACTGGGCCTATTGTCAGGCATAAAGCCATGCTAAAGCAGATGATGCGCATCTCGACGGTCGACAATTTCCAAGGAGAGGAGTCCAAGATTGTCATCGTATCGCTCGTCCGAAGCAATCGAGAGAAGCGATGTGGATTTCTGCGAACCAGTAATCGGATCAATGTCTTGTTGAGGTGAGTCTCCTAAATCAAGGATCGGATTTTCCGCTGATAGTCTTCGAAGCCGTGCCAAATACGGAATGTACATCATTGGAAACTCGGAGACTTATACCCAAATCCCAATGTGGTCAAAAGTGATCAAGCTACTAAAGGATGCCGGCAACATGGGTCCCAGCCTTCCACTTTGCTGTCCCCAGCATCCAGATACATCTATTAGTGTCTCAACGCCGGATGATTTCCTACGCAAAGCGCCGGAGGGAGGCTGTGCCGTCCAGTGCGGTCTCCAGCTCGACTGTGGCCACCTCTGCACATATAAATGTCATTCCGAAACCCGACATCAATCTGTCATCTGCCGCGAGCCTTGTGAGCGCCTTCATGGTGACTGCGGTCACCTTTGCACCAGGTATGTACATTTTCGAGGACTATCCTCCTTGTCTGTACGCAGTTGTGAGTCGCTTGACGGGGTTTGGGGAGGAAAAAAGCCTTCCAGACCCCAAGTCTGCCCTAAAGCTCAAAATCCTTCTCGAAGAATTTACGCTGATTGTGAAATCCTTCTGCAGAGCATGTGGTGTCGATTGCGACGATTGCCTTGCACTCGTTGAGGATGTACAATTGAACTGCGGTCATACTGCAAGTGAAGTGCCCTGTCATCATATGTCGGACCTTTCCTCAGTTGAATGCCAATTCTATATCGAAAAGGTTTTGCCTAGCTGTGGGCACAAGACCTTCGTCAGGTGTGGTCAGGAAATTTCGAATACACCTACTAAATGCGAAACGCAGTGTGGCGTGGATCTTGCTTGTGGGCACCAATGCTGCAAGCCATGCGGCGTTTGTCATTTGAAGGGCACTGGTCTTGGTATTCATGGCAGCTGCAATGCCCCGTGCGGGCGAGTCAGATCGACCTGCGTTCACCTTTGCGAAGCCACTTGTCATGGAGACTCGCCGTGTCCACCATGCAATTTGCCCTGCTCTATAAGCTGCTCGCATTCGACATGTACGAAGCGGTGCTGCGAGCCATGCGCGCCATGCGCTCAATCTTGCACCGCAGGATGCTACCACCAAGGGTACTGCCAAATGCCATGCGCCGTACCTTGCGACATCTTGCCTTGTTCTCTTCGCTGTGAGGAGGATTTAGCTTGCGGACATCAATGCCCTTCGGTATGCGGAGAGTCATGCCCCAGTACCGCATTTTGCCAGCAGTGTGCATCTACCACCGTCAAGCAAACATATGTCGACTTTGGAAGCTTAGTCGCAGTTGGAACTCTGACATATCAAGGGATCGACTTGGACGAGACACCCGTCATTGTGCCGGCTTGTGGCCATATCATCCTAATGACTACGATGGATCAACTCATGGGTATTTCTGATCATTATGAGGTGTCTAGTAGCGGAGTGCCGGTCGCTTTTCGCTCGGAGTCTCTACCTCTAGCGGTCAAGGAATCGAAAAGCTGTCCTCAATGCCAAGGCCCACTGCGCGATCTCAACCGCTACAATCGTCTCGTTAAACGGCCCACACTCGATGAAAGCACCAAGAAGTTTATTGTTCATTCAAACAAGGTTTTAGTCCCCTTGGCTACCAGACTTCAACAAGAGGAGACTCGCCTCGCCAAGACCAAATCGACGATGAGCGCCGGTACGACAGCTGTTCAATCCAAATTTACCTCTATCGTGCCAACGCTCGTACGGCTTGGCGGTCCCAGAGGTGTGTTGTTCCACAACATCAGCGAGCTATCCGGTCTCGGCTCTCGATGCGGACCTCTGCTTGCATTGCACCATGAGATACTCACCTTCTTGGGGCGAGTCAGAGAAGATGAGCAGCCCTTCGCAGAGATCCAATGGACGGTGGCTCAACGACCCCATGCGATGCATAGAGCTACAGTACTTCAGACAACAAGCAGTCTGCTTACAAAGGGTCTTCTACTACGTTGCGAATACGATATCCTGACCGAGATCATCAAGATTCATAGGGAACAAACCCCTAGGATGGCGACACAGCATCATTGGCTCACATCAAAGCTGTGTCTTGACCTGGACTTCAACCGTCGGGATTGTCGCGATTTGATCAACGAAGCAATCCAGAAAAGCCATCCCATCATAGACATCGAGGCTCGTCTGCTCCTTGCTAAGTTCGTCGCTTTGGAGAGAATAGCGTCAATTGATCCGGACAGAATCGAGGGTCTACTCCCTCAAGCTCGTCGACAGATGGAGATAGCCAAGCATATAGCGAAAAATTCGCCCATCCTCGAACAACCAGATTCACCGGATCTGAAAGTAGAAAACCAAAGACTGGAAAAGGAAATGCAGAAACACAGCATGCGGGAGGGTGAAAACAATGTGAGATGTAAAGTACTAGATTGCACCAAGCTTTTCGCCGGAGCGGTCTTCTGGCGGAAGCATGTTGAGAAGCGCCACCCCCAGTGGTACGAAAAAATGAAAGCGAGCGTAAGCTCCAGTGCTTCCAGCTTACTTGCGGAGGTTGAAGAGATGGAGAAGATGTTGCAGGAGGTTACGGTTTCTATGATTGTGACCAGTGCAGAGAAACAGGCGATGTATCTCGTAATGGCTCAGGACTACGAAGGTGCGGGAAGATGGTATCATTGCTTTAATATGCATGCGGTGAGAATAACCTTCCAAGTCCTAACGCGCAAGCTAACAGTCACTCAGTTCACGATAGAAAATCGCGAGGCGCGCGTGGGCACATTGAAGTGCCCGCAATGTGGGGAACTTGTAGCTGGGCCGTCTCAGGAAGTGGTCGAGGAAGTGCCGAACGCTGTCGATGTTGAACACCAGTCCAGGGATATGATACTGTCGGCGCAATTTGAGCTGCTGGAAATGGGAATGTGATGAGCATGGCTCAGATAGGTTTATACCGGTCTGGAAGGGAGGTCATCCGTGTGCTCGGCTGAGTACCTTGAGTCAGCTTACAATGTCGGTTGCTCGTGTCACGTGCTATCGAATGTAATAATGGTGTGCAGTCAATTTGCCCAAAGAACTAGTAACGAAAAAAGATTTCACTTGTCAAATGACTCAAGCGATCTGCTCCGTGTACCGGAGAGCCTGTGCTGCAGACGACTAAGATTTGAGTGATGAGCGTGATTCAAGTGCCGTTTAGACAGCCGATAGGGCTGCCCTTGCTGGGGTGTCTTCGATGAAGCCCGGATACTGCAATAGGACCATTAGAGCACTCCTGGCTAGCACTCGAGAATGGAGGCGTGGGGAAAGTGTGTGTACGGGGTGGTGGAGCAGACTCCAGGATGGGACAGGCGGACCACGAACTCACATCTACACAACCAAATGGGCAACACCGCTCAGCCTTTGCTCGGATGCATCAAGTTGCACTGGACAAGGGGCTGGGAAGGCTCCAGTCTTTGAGGAGGGTAGATGTTCGAAGTCGGACACGGGGAAGATCTTTCGCTTCTTCGCACTTTTGCAAGGATAGTTTCGTGGACTTTTGTTCATGACTAGGTTCTTCTCGTTTGAAAGAAAAATTTTCTGAGGCCTGACAAGCCCCTGCTTCCAAAAACGACAACAAGCTGGGCTCGGGTGCATCGATAGAGAACTCAACAAAGGAAAGCTCGATGACAGGGGGTCCAATGTACGAGCTGTGTTCTACTTGAGAGTTTGTACAGCTCCTCAGCCAGAACTTTGAGTGTACGCTGATGCGCTGATGGGGTATTCGACATTCCTGGTTGTGGTCGTAAATTCAATTAACAGCTTTTACTTCCTGCTTGTTGGAGCGCACGCGTAGACAGGGGATTCCCTTACGCTGAAGCTGTTTCATTGCAAGCATTTTGATTCTTGTCGTGGATTCAAAATACATACAAATGACTTGGAAAATTAGCTAGAAAGCTGATTGGTAGCGAAATTTCATGACGACGAGTAGAGTACCAGTGAGGGTATAGAGTATGTTGAAGTTGATATTGACGGTGAACGCAACGACGCTGTAAAGTTGGGGCATCAGCGCCCATGTATATAACACAATAGCACACGACCGAGTAAGTGTCTTTCTTTTAGCGAGTGGGCTGTCACAGGTGCCTTTCTGTAGGCCCGCCATGTAAAATATCCCGCGCACTCATTCGTATCGGAAACACAGACAGAATCGCGCCAATCCGAAAGCCAGCATGAAGAGGGGCTGGCCAGGACTGGCAAGCACCAGATCGTTTGATCGACTCCATGATGGCAATGTTATTGGAGATTACATACGGGAGAGAAGACTCCCGGAAGATTATGAAGGCCGTTGAGTGAAAGGAGAGGGCAATGCTTCTATGCAGCATTTTGTTCATCGGAAAGCAGATCTCGACGACTACGAGCCGAAAGAAAAAGTAATACGCCCACCTCCACCAGCCATCGAACCCAATGCGACACTGTGCAGTGCGACCGTGACGGAAAGAATCGCGATACCTCTTCGGATGCGAGTAGTTCACTCAAATTGGTGTTGGGAAGAAGGAAAACTCGAATATCACCCTAGACGAATTCTTCGCATTGGCACCGCCATAGTCATAGTCTCATGAAGGGAAGCGCACACTCTGTTCCAGGGAGCTAGGTCATTATCTGGGCCGAGGTGTTCAGGTCCAACCATGACTGAAAATTTTGCGCGAAGTGAACTCCTCTCGTCTTGCCTAGAAGTTAATTGTTGTGGGCGTCTCTGGGAACCAGAACAGGAAGTCTCACAGGTGCATGTTTCGATCTTATCGGGGTACTTCAAGCTCTAGTGGATGTTCCTCGGCTCTTCGCTCTTACATGGTCCGTATTTTACCCTCTCCCTCTTCTGCCGACATCTCCTACCTTTCTCGTGCGACCGCTACTTCATATCTTCTCTCTCGAGCCTCCAATCCATATTTCTGCCTTTTTTTTAGCTTCTAACTCGGCCTTTTCTTGAAGATAAGGTTGCGTGTCTTCCCAGGACTAGATAGTGGCGTGGGGTTTGCCGTTGGTAGTGACGACATTAGCATTGGCGATGATTTCGATGTTGAAGACGTGTTTACTGACAGAAGGCTCGCTACGATTGCTGGAGCCGCAATGTCAATAATCTTTGCGCCTTCGGCAGTCGTCGAAAATACGTCGCAGCTATCGAAATCTAAGAGAATTTTCATTTGTGATGCAGCGGTTCAATGAAAGAAGATCGGACTCGCCGTAGCTGTTTCCGTGATCGAGTACTGCGGTGAGATCGAGATAGAAGAGCCCGAAGTCGTGACGCATATGTAATTCGATATGAATGCTGACAATATTGAATACGCCGTGAAGACCATACAGACATTCGGCTTCGTCTCTGTTCAATCTTGTCAGCGGAGAGTGCGCTGCGAGCATACATTAGACTCACGATCCATTGGTGTCATCTACTAGAACTTCAGTGTAGGCTGGAACTAGAGTGCAGCCATCGCCTGTGATCCGTGTGTCAGAATTAGTAGCATGTGTTTCATGAAATGATTGTCAACGCACACCCCAGCAGCGGCGTCATCGATTGGCCAGTATCAAGCCCGGCTAATAAAAGGTATCTGCAGTATCAAGCGCGAAGTCGTCACGGATAATGATAAACGGAATTCAGACTGAGAGAGCAACGATTTTCTTGCGACTCCAAGACTTGCGATAGAAGCTCTTGAAGCGTCGTGGTGGGGACCAACGAGGGACCGGAGTGATTGTATCCTGGTTCCACGCTATAGATTTTATTCACTAGCTTGCATCCATGGTGCTGGCAGCTAGGGAAGCCTGCGTTGATTTTCGCTTACGAAGAAGGCCTAGCGTGAATCCTTCGCAGAAGAAGAAGGACCAGCAGTTCTGCTGAGAAGGCCACGGTACGGGGCATTTAGCGGATGTTCTGGGTTGCAAACGTCGTTGGCCCGGATATGACTTCTTCGGTCCAAGGATGGTTGGGGCTTCTCGCTCGTTCCGTTGCTATTCTACCCTAGGCTCTTGTATGCCCTATATCTTGTTCCATCTTCCATCTTCTGCTGGCTTTCAAGCTCTTCACGTACCGTCTCGATGTCCTACCTCATATCTTCCGCCATTAGTGGTCCTGACCCTCTAAATCAGCCTTAATTTGATGTTGTGCTTCTTCGATCAACCGCCAACGCTTTACATTTTTTCTCGATGCAATATCGACCAAGGCCTTCTTGGCATCTTTGGTCAATGAAACCGGAAAGTTCGTTTCAGATTTGACCTAAAAAAAGGGGGAGACAATTTCACACCATATTCCCGCTTCGAACGATACTTAAGTCAAGATTCCTTCTCTCTTTGCACGCAATAACAAAGATGAAGACCACTTCATACTATCGTAGCGAGATGATCGCTGTCTCATACAGGGAGAAAATACAATCTTCGCACGGCTCGTGTGGTGATACCCCTACTCTTTCAACCCGTGGAACCGATCTGGCCTTCCACATGCCACTCACTGGTGATCGCCTAATCGAGGAACCAAGTCACCAAATACTTAAGAACAAATATTGAGAAAGCGAGAAGCATGTATTCTGCACGCAGAGCGAAGACACTCGAAGCGTAAGACGGCGCTCGATCCGTAGCGATCTTGTGCATGTGAAGAAGTCAATCAATGCAGGTTTAAAATGGAACTTTGCGCCAAGACAAATGGGTCCTTTCCGAAAGTCCTGCCCGAAAAAATTGCCCTGCACCTGCCGAAACTATGAGTACAACATATCAGACGCGTTGAAGAAATCACCCCCACTGATATCACATGCAACACACGAATTCCAGCAGATGCGTTTGAGCCAATTGACCACAAAATCGCGGGTTCATGAGCCATTAACACAATACTCTAATGCTAAGTACTTCCTCGTCAACTAGAATATTCCTTTCTTCAACACACTCACCAGCACGACTCATTGACCCCTGACTTTTCCAATTATAATTTCCTCGTTTTCGCGAGTACTAGTGCGGAATAATGAACACTACGCCGATCTGATCCGTCATAACTAACATGTCACATGCTCTACTCATGTCGCCACTGGCACTTTACATCGAGCAAGTCTCCGGTCAGCAGCCAGTGTGTCCATGTCCGGATCCAAGAGTGACTACGTATCCACCTTCGCCTCCAGAGAATCTAATATTTGACTCGCTTCACTCCACACCGATGCTCGACAATACCCGAACAAATCGGATTCTAGTCTACCCCGGATCCTTCAACCCACCCCATCGAGGCCATCTGCACCTCCTCAAGCATGTGTTTCTACGTGGGGTCCATGATCTCAACATCATAGCCGCCATCATTATCCCCGCGAGCGACAAGAGCGTGTCTAAAAAGGTCCAAGCAGCAGATGGGACATTCATGTTCGGTAGAGATGAGAGATGCCTTTTATGGAAGCAAGATCTGTGTTTCCCATCATGGGCGTGGGTGTACGAAAGCAGTACGACCCCATTTACGACCTTCTTGGAGCGACTCATTCTAGTGACCAAGAAAGACGGCTTTTCACTTGAGTTCGTGCCTTTATACGGCGCCGGTATAGGATCGCCTAGCAGCCCTCCTGGCCCCGCGTATGGTTGTAAGACAGTCATCTTGAGTGATGCGGCAAGAGCGGCTGACTTTCAACGCTCCTCGGGCCGCCTGAGAGATTTCTCCGGATGCACCAAGTGGAGAAGGATCCGTGTTGACCAGGACGCACTTCGGCGTCATGCGAGGGCAATGGCACGCTATGCGTTGGAGTACATGAAGACGGTTAGCAGACGAGAAGCCTTGGGCATGTTGAACGATGGTATGTAGGAAAAACGATCCATTCACATTGGCTGTTCAACGCTGAGAAATCCCGGCACAGGTCCTGGTTACGTGGAAAAAGCCACAGAGAAAATTGTTGCCAAAGCAACAGAGGAACTGAAAGCCGTCATAACATGCCGACGAGAAGTGGGAGGCCGGACACTTACTCTGCGCTTTGTGAAATGCGAAGACGTTGACTCCAGGGCCGAATACAACGACATCAGCTCAACGATCTTGCGTAAGGCTATGAGAGAGAAAAAGGGGGTCAAGCTGAAAGAAGCGCTGGATTGGATGGCCCTCAGCCCGCACCTTCTCTGGTGGTACCAAGCTTCTTGGATCGACAAAGCCAGGCTCGGGACGGGCTGTTGCATCAGTTTCCAAGCGTTGACTGAAGAATTCCGGATGCCTGAAGAATCTACGTTCTTTGAAAAACCGCCGTCGCTTGAGGAGCTCGGGCTAGTTGAAGCGGTTCCTTCGTCACTTGAGAAGCCTCCATCGCTTGAAGACACTACGTCGCATGATCTATCTCCATCTTTCGAGGAAACCCAGTCACTTGATGATTCTCATTTGCAAAAGGAGCCTTCGGGTATGACTAATAAGAAGAGGCGTTTTTCAGAGACTGAGCTCGAAACTTGGCGGTGCAGTCTTTGCCGAGGATGGGGAGGCTTTTTGAGAGCGACTCGGTGACATTTGTTGATCGTCGGCTGCTCGGAACACAGATACACCAACAAGGCCTCTCACGATTATCATCTCAGAGGCAGTCACCATTTGCTTGGTCATTTTATGATAGGGGCGAGAGCGCCACGCGTCTTGCGGAACGTCTGGATCAGACGATGTATGCTTCCTAGGATTTTTCACATGCACAGCTTGATGCACGGCGAACTCAGAGGCTTGGTTTTACCAATAGAAAAAACTCATACTTGCTAGAAGATCCACAAACTTTGAGATGGGGAGCCAAAGGCGCAAAAAAGCGTGTCCCAAGCGCCGGAACGAGGCGAGTCTGTGAGATCTTCTGTTTCGCTCGCCCTCTGTCCATACCTCAGTACCAGTTCTATGATATGGTATGGCATGGTTTTGATTCGCGCCTCTACCCAATCTGCGGAGGCTCACTGCAAGTGTGGCCGGCGTAATCGTAATTCAAGGTGTGACGATGCAAAAGTCGACTGATGGAGGTGACAGTACGGCGATAATTGTCTTTGCATTCTCAACGCGTGAAAACTTTGCATAGGGGGGCGAGCTTCATGGAAAGAGACGCGACGGTGGTCGGAGCCGTATTGTGTGTCTGTGTTTATAGTATTGCTACCCGTAGGCACAGAGGGTCGATCTCGGGATGAATATGCCGCATGGACTCTGAGTAGATAGGATTTACTGTTCGATGAACACGTGTAGAATGGAGGGGGAGGAGGAAGAAGAAGAGGAGAAGGATCCTGCATGCGTGGTAGCTGCTGCTATGCTGTAGACACTGTGATGATTTTCATTGCGTTGATGGTTGATGCTACTGTTATTCCTGTGATTGATTCCCCACTGATTGTTCCTCCATAGTCCCGCGATCGCATGGAGAGGAAGAAGCTTGATCTGTACCCACAGCAGGAGGGTTCGTCACTTGTCAATCTTGTGGCACACGTTGTCCGCTCACTGATTACCCGGAGAGACGACGCTGTCTTTTCTTCCGGCCAGGACCAGATTTGATTGGTCGAAACCGACACTTAAGACATGAGAAAACAGAATAACCGCAGCCCAATGGTAGAAAATGTCCAGTACCGAAAATGTGTCCCTCCAGTATCATTTATACCTTAGCCCTCATTACTTTTTGTCGAATGCACAGTCACTTCGGTCCGCACCTCAATCCCATCCCTAGCCCGTCGGCCCGCCGTCTGCATCTCAATGTCTTCTTGGTCATCATTTTTGCGTCCCCGTGAGTCTGTACCCGCGATTCCATGAAGTTGCTGTATACCCGAGAAGCCGTATGCCGCATCAGGTAAAGACATGAAATTGCGCTGACTGTCACTGGGGGTTGTTGGCTGTCCAAGGGGTTGAAAAGTTGCTGAGGGCTGACCTCGTGTCCAAGATCTACCATAGGCTTTGCCTCTGGAGCCCCGTACAGGGGGGTCTGGCTCACCCGAGATAATAAGGGATAGAATTGGTCGAAGAGAGGGCAGACAAGCTGTGACGCTGTTTAGCTCTATCGTGTGTAGCGTGTACATGAACGTCATACCCGCCACGATTGCCATATTGCTCTCGGCAAGACTCCAACTAACCAAACTTGCGGAGTTGTAGTCTACATCCGGGGAAGTGGTATCCAATTTGGCGATAATTGTAAGGCGAACAATCGAGATCACTGTAATACTGATTTTGGGTTAGGAAAATGACTGCCAGAGTTATACTGTATGGGAATCTCACGACTTACAAGCCACCAAGCATGAACGTACCCGCCAATGCGATCTTCTGCGAGGTTGTCGCGTGTAAGCGCCAGATGTACGGAACCGGCAGTAGAAGCAGTGCAAGATCCGTCACGATGTTGGGGACCGAGTTGGCGAGAAAGAAATACTTTGTGTTGAGGCACTTTGCGGGTATATCTTTATTCCAAAATCCCGAGATCGGAGTACATTGAAACACGGTAATCAGTAGCTTGTGATTCTTGGGTCAGCGAAACACCATTCGAACCGATGAAGGCACTTACAACGGCGATCTCCCAGCATATCGTGACAGCTCCCAGTATACAGCACGGAACACGAATTGAGGCTCTGAAGAGCCTCCAATAAAATGCCAAAATGGAACATTTGACGACGCCGATAGTCAGAAAGTAGAGAATTTCTCCTGTGAAAAAATTCCTGCCGAAAGTGGTTATATAATCCTTTGGAAGAATTTCGAAGTGGTGCCCAAACCCTTGGTGGAGCCCTATTGTATGCTTCTTTAGTAATCTGTCAAGACCCCATTGACGAAGACTTTGGCAATCTTACAGACGATTACAACGGTGAAGAAACCAGTAGCGAGCAACTGTCAGAAGAGTCAGCGCCTGGAGGACGATGGGGTCTGTGTGCCTATTGTGATCTCTCACTAGTGCCACAACTGCAGTCCAATCATCCACCCAGATTTCGGCTTTCATCAGCCTTCTCGCCCACAATCGCAACGCTACAGCTACCACCGCCATGACGTATGTGGTTATGGCGGCTGCATAGCATTGGGGTGCTTCGCTCGCGTATATGGAAATGGAAGACATCGCAAAACAAGAAATGAATGACAGGTTGAATTGAAGGAAAAGCAGGAAGGAAAGGAAGGCTGGACATGGTTAGAGAGTCGTCATCGATGAATTCGACTGCAGACTCGTGGCACGTACACATAGCAGGCAAGTAAGATTGTCAAGCTGAATGCAAAGGTGGCATTGACGGCTCGGAGACCATTCCCTCTAAATTATCGAAGAATCGCAACTAGAAGATGGTAGAGGTGGGTGACCAATTTTCAGGTGGGTTGCCGTTTCAACCTAGGTGGCTGACCGTTATTCAGTTGTGTGCGGGATTTTGCTGTGAGTCCTCAAGATTTACCCTGCATGGAGTATGCATCCGCGGGAACACAGATCGTGAGCCGGAAGCCGAGGCTGAGGCTGAGGCTGGGAACAGTCTAGACACCTTGCAAAGGCGCGCAGGACCTGTCAAAGATTTCGCCATAGACGACGAGAGCTCCTGGTGTGCACAACGTATGGCGCAGATCCCTACACGCTTTTAGTAGTAGGATCCGGCAGATCGTATTCCGTGAGCAAGGTATCATCAGCTCCCGCTTACAGTGATGTAGGAACCCGGCTTGAACGGCTTCGAGATGGGACGATGGGGGATCGGCGGTGGCCGAGGTCCCTCAGTCCCTTGACATCTTTCCACCATTACTACTGTATACGTATTTGGCGTCGTGGAGAAGACAAGACACGAAGACAAAATTATTTCTCTTCTGCTAAGCAGTGAGTAGACGAAGTATGTCACAGTGGGCTAATGACATGCAACGAAACCCCGCTGCTGTGGGCTCGAGTCTCGTTCTGCCCTCTCGATACGCCTGCGGGATGATGAAGGAGCAATCACTCGTCATTCTATTTTCGCAGTCGTAATCGTAATAGTCTCCACAACGTGGCAGCAACAAATACGAGCAACATCAAACGTTACATTATACTACGTAATCGGAATTTTCCTCTTCCTCATCCTTCTCCTTCCTACACGCGATTATCGAGCGGTAACTTTAATCTACTTACAGAGCTCATGCAACATATTCCCAATGAAATTAACTTGACGTGCTTACGAATAGCAATACCGCGAACGCCGATGTACTGCACATGCGAACCCTCCAGAGTCGGCGCATCTTTCTAGACCAGACCCCGTTGTGCCATTGTAAAGGTAAAGCTAAGAATTAGGTCACATTGTTCTCAGAATTTGCTGCGTCACGGGCAGAACATTTACATCCAAGGGGTCGTTGATCAATCACGCATCATCAGCGCTCTCTTCGTTTTCCGGGCTTAAAGGTTGATCTCGACCCTATCCGCGCTATAAGAACTCCGCGTACAGAATCCAAATGAGAGCCTTCTCCATCGCTTCTTCAGGCCAGGTCTGCTTTTCAGAAACTACTCGCACAACCTCGCAACTCAAAAATTAGATAGAATCGCAGCAATCCACATTATCGTGGGTGGAGATCTGGGCCTTAGGCGCCGAGATCTCAGAGAGGCTATGCCCACCATCTTTTCGTTGAAACCCTGCACGGGTTTCTTGGGTTTGGTCCCAAGGTATTGGATGGCCAATGAAAGACCGCGGGGCTGAAGCAGCCCCCACAAAAACAGTCTCCGTGAGTGTTTCGTCTTTCGATACTATGGCGATAAGGACGAGCGCGAGACCCTTAAATAATTCAATGCCGTGCAATTACTTTGAGAGAGTTGATGATCGAGCGCAAGCATCCCTGGCGATCAAATCACGAGGGTATGGAAAACGAGGAGGAGAAGATGGCCTTGGCCAAGGCTCTATGTTCCGATACGCGCTCGGCTGCAGCTAAGCTAGGCTGAGTGCGGTAAGCGCGGCTCAGCCTCGTGGGCCGACAAAATAGCTACCTTATTTATCTCTTACTCCTTTCCATCCCACTATCTTGACATCCAGAGGCCGCAGTGCTCTGAAAGCGGCTGGAAGAGTCTGATATAGTTCTAGGCTTTGTGTACAGTCCAGGTGCCATGGATTGGGCTGCATTGGTACGGGGAACTTTATACTTATCCTCTCAGCCACCTTCATCCTTTTATTCCCCTGTGCTGTGAGCATCCAACATCAACCATGGCTCGTCCAAGGAAGATGGCATCCTCAAAAGAAGCTCCCCAGACCCCAATCACGGCCAAAGGGGCTCGACGTCTCAAATCTTGGCATGAAATCCCTTCTTGGCAGCAAGATAACGAGTATATTCTATCAGGCTATCGACAAGCAACTGGATCTTTCAAAAGTTGCTGTGAGAGTTTAGGATATGTCCACAACGAGACTGTCAACATATATTCGCACGTCATTGGCGCAGCCACGTTTCTCACAGCACCAATATACTACTATCGAGCTCTATACCTGCGCTATCCTTTGGCAACTCAAGCTGATGTTTTCGTCTCTTCCACCTTCTTCTATGGCGTTTCGATCTGCTTCATTCTATCTGCAACGTATCACATCATCAGCAACCACAGCCCAGAAGTGCAAAGGTTCGGGAACCAGCTGGATTATCTCGGAATCGTGATCTTAATGTGGGGATCTACCATTCCGAGCATCTACTATGGTTTCTACTGCGATTCTCGACTCCAAAAGATCTACTGGGCCAATGTCTCTACCCTCGCGACCCTTTGTGTAGTCGCAACGCTGCACCCCAGATTCAGACATCCTGACATTCGGCCCTACCGCGCAGCCATGTACGCTGGGCTTGGGCTTTCCGCCGTCGTCTTTGTAATGCACGGTATCTTGCTACATGGCTGGACCGTACAAAATCGGCGCATGAGTCTTGATTGGATGGGCCTTGTGGCTCTGTTCAATCTGATGGGTGCAGTAATCTATGCTGCTCGGGTTCCAGAAAAGTTGAGGCCACTGAGATACGACATCTACGGGAACAGCCACCAAGTGCTACACGTCGCAGTAGTTCTTGCAGGTCTAGCGCATATGTTTGGATTGTCCAGAGCTTTCGATTACCTTCATACACATGGCTCAGTCTGTACATAGCGCAGTTCTTGGATGTATCCTACTCTGCCAAATGTACGAATTCTACAAACAAAGATAAGTATAGCATCGATTTGGAATCCTCCCGACGTCGAACAATCTTCATGGCATAATCATAGTCACGGACGACCCAATCTTGCAATGTAACCATGTCCGCGAACGAGACAGGCCGAGACCAAATAGCAAAATGGTCTAGATGGAGATGCCAACACCAACAGCAGTGCCCAAGGATTGGCCAAACATCACGATACGTCGATCGCGTACTCCAGGCGACGGAATACAGACAAAGTGGATAGCAATTTCCAGCTGCGCAGCAGAGACTTCTGCAAAGAAGGTGCTCTATGTGCGAGCGGGGATGGACGAGCATGTAGGGATTTGCGTGCGTATTGCAGCTCAAACATTTTCTTGGGAAAACGCCGAGCGGCGTGGCGCAGTTCGACCTCTGGGAATACGAGGCTTGCATTTATGAATTGCAAATTAAATAAGAATGCTTGGCAAAGCTGATTTAGTTCCGCCTCCGACTTTTTGTTAGCGTTATTTATAGAAAATTATAGAGAACGTATTTGTCACTCTTATAATAGCCACTATCGTTTACTATCTTAATTAGATATTCGTAATATTAAAGCTAGTAGATATATATACTTTTTCTAATATTTTATCTCTAACTTAAACGTATAATAGCTATATTGTTAGTCCTTACTTCGAACACGATATTATTATTTAAAAAGAATCTCTCTGTACGTCAGCGTATCTAACTCTTACTTAAATTTTATTAGTAATCTAAAGTCGTAGCTACGGATATCTATTTTAGTATATCGACGGTATATTAATAAGAGTAAAAATATGTAATTGATATTAATAACTGTAATAGATTTACGATAGAGTATTTTAAGTAGAGTACTATAGGCTATATATTTAACGGCGAAATTAAGGTATTTAAATAAGATTTAGAGTATTTAATTATAGAGATAATAGAGTAGTTATAATAAAATACTACGTAATATTAATTAAAATCCTTTATCTTCTCTATAATCTTCTCTCTAATTTAATTATTTTAGAGTATAAGTATACTAATAAATCTCTCTTCATTTTAATCGTTTAATAAGAATTAACAATATTTCGAGATATTACAATACTATCGTATTCGTATTTAAGCTATATAGAAGCTTTAAAAATATAAAGTAAGCTAGTATAAAAGTAGCACGTATATTCTCTACAATTTTCTATGAATAGCGTTAATAAAAAGTCGGAGGCGGAGCTAAATTAGCTTTGCTAAGCATTCTTATTTAATTTGTAATTCATAAATGTCGGATTTAAGGAAGAGGCGATCCGTACGCTGCACAAGAGTGGAAGGATTAAGCGGAAGTCTTTCCGCTCATATCATTGTCGAGGGCTTAGCACCGGCTTATGATATGAGTCATAAGGCAAACTTCTGTCCTCCACTCTCAAACTCACCTCCATAGTGCAGACTTTCCAACCTCCATATCGAAGCCGCCCACTCGATCCCAGTCTTGCCTCATCCGACGTCCCACTCGCAGCGAGTGCCGCAATTGAAGCAGTAAACTCGGTCTCGGAATCTTGACTCTCCGTGCCTTGCTTCACATGGCCGATGCTGGGACGTTCCTCTCTCTGCTGTAGAAGATGAGGTTCCACGTCAAAAGACGAAGTTGGGGAAGGTCAGCCTAGCGCACCCCCCAAATCCAATGGATTCTGCGAGCAATTTCGATTGCACGTTCATTGCTATCAGTCTACCTGTTGCCCCGCGCATACAAAACTTATGCCATCACTTAGCCGAGATCATGTCCGCCCCATTTCTAGACTTCAGATATCTCAACATTGCGGTGATATTCTCATCATGCAACACATCACCGTTCCCCCCAAAGCTAAGAGACCCTGAACAGGAAACACGCAGCTCTTTGATCCTGTTGCTCAGATTGCTGAATCTAGTACT